TCTATCTATCTATCTATCTATCTATCTATCTATCTATCTATCTATCTATCTATCTATCTATCTATCTATCTATCTATCTATCTATCTATCTATCTATCTATCTATCTATCTATCATCTCCTTTTCACCAACAAAACTGGCTGGATAGTTTAGTGGCTTAGGTGTCTGGCTGTGGAAACATAGATTGGAAGTTTGATGCCCCGCTGTGCCTCCTGTGAGTAGAGCAGCCTGTGTGACCTTGGGCAAGCTGTACAAGTCCTAGGATGCCCCCAGAAGACGGAAATGGCAAACCACTTCTAACTTAATGGCAACTCTTCTCAGGGTTTCCTAGGTAGAGAGTACTCAGAAAGAGGAAAAAGAGCCACCCACAAATAAGGTATTTCTGCCATACATCAAAGGGGTCACGGACCGCATGGGGAAACTTTTGAAAAAACACAACCTACAAACAGTATTCAGACTCACCACAAAAATACAATAAATGTTATGGTCAGCAAAGGACACAAGGGACCCCCTCACCACTGCAGGAGTATACCGGATACTTTGCAGTTCTGGACAGGTTTATATCGGGATCACAAAATGCAGCATCCACACCAGAATCAAAGAACATGAGAGACACTGCAGATTAAAACAACTGGAAAAATCAGCAGTAGCTGAACATGCCCCTAAACAAGCTGGACATGAAATTCTATTTCAAAATACTGAAGTACTGGACAACACCAGCAATCTGTATGTTAGACTGCACAGGGAAGCCATTGAAATCCATAAACATAAACAAAACTTCAACAGGAAAGAAGAAGGCCTAAAACTAAACATGGCCTGGCACCCCATTCTGAAAAATACAACCTGCAAAAGGTCAACGAGCTCTCCGCAGCCACAAGGGCCAGGGATCATTGCACAAAAAAGACCAGCTAACAACACCCATCAATCACAGTGACAGATACTCCCTCCCTCCCCCCTCCCTTATCACAACAAAAACATGCTGATCACCCTATCTCCTGAAAAAAGACAAAAGCCATTCCCACAGTTATGAATACTATCCAACAAACATCAACAGAGCATGGACAGAGTGCCTACTCCAGTCCTCTGAAGATGCCAACCACAGAGACTGGCGAAACGTCAGGAAGAACAACCTTCAGAACACAGCCAATGAGCCCGAAAAACACACAACAACTATTAAATCCTGGCCGTGAAAGCCTTCGCGAATACATTGTTTACCATTCCCTTGTTCAGGGGACACCCTGGGACTGAGTAGGTTTCCCAAGGCCACACAGGCTAGCTTTACACATGGGAGGCTCAGTGGGGAATCAAACTCCCAACATTTGGCTCCATAGCCAGATACTTAAACCACTGACCTACCCAGCCAACTCCTCTATTTGTAGCTCTCCTGTATTTCCCAGTTGCTCCCCTCACCAGATACATAGATGCAGGCACATTTGAGAATATGCTTAATGGGCATAATTTTTTATTTTTATGTTTAGTGCTGAGAAGGAGGAGGAGGAAACACATGGGTACAAAAAGGGAATGTTGATGATTTATGGGCTTTGGCAGATACAAGAGGTATGCTGATACCTTCTCTCATCAGTATTTCTCTCATACAATCACCTCCCCCAGCAGGTCTTACATCTAGTACTGTTAGCAGATATCTAATTTCTGCTCAATAGCAATTCAAACCTGTAAAACAAACTGAAGTGTATCTTATTTTGAGTTAATACCTGAATTCATCAAATACTCATTGGCTGAATATATCCATGAGAATTCACTACCCTAACAGCAAAACTAGATGTGACATTTCTAATAATTCAGAATTTACTATTTTTTAAAAGCAAGTATGGGAGGTGGTTTTTCTTGAGATACACTATTAATATATGGGGAAGCAACGTCTAATCCTTTTTTGTGCCATTGTGGTACTGATGAAAATGAAAACTGCGCCCTCACCAATCTTGCATCTTGGAGGGAAACCTCTTTTGATGATTTTTTTTTGGGGGGGGTGGGGGAGGGAAGGACTGAATTAGGAGAGAGATATTTAAAAAATGAAGGGCCTCTCTGAGGCTACATTCTCAACCAAAAAATGCCGCCTTCCAGCATCTGTTTTTAAAATCACTTGTGATTGTAAATGTCTCATCTAGTTTGGCTGTTAAATTGGTGGCATGCTCCGCCAATGAGTATTTGATGAATTCGGTTATTAACTAAAGAAAATATATGCTCCAAAGTGCGGTGCAATTTTGAATCACTGTTTCCCTGGCTGTAGTCCCACAAAAAGGCCCCACCGCTGTTCTGCATCTACATTTTTTTTAAAAAGTGATGTTATTGAAAATAGCCCCTCATGGATTACAAACATTTGGTTCTAACTTTAAGCATAGTGAAGCCATTGCCTCACACATACAGATACTGGGACAGAAACCAGTCATAGAAGAAGAGGAGGAGGAATGGAGGGCAGAGTTGTGTGTGATATGTAGCCCTCCTTGAAACCTATAAACCTGACCTCTGTGTTCAGGTGTGGTGCAGGATAAGGCCCATTTAAACTGATAATGAAGATTGACTTGGCTGCCCTGTCAAATCCTACGTGTGGAGTGTGGTGAAGGGCATCTTATCCTTGCATTGGTGCAGTAGAAGGAGTAAAGCACTGGACTCAAGGCAAAAGCAGAAACAATTTTGGGGGAGGAGATCTCTCTGCAGAGCCCCCTTTTCCTGATTTTAAATGCAGTAAATAGAGACAGATTGAGCCTGGTGTGGATCAGAGCTGGAGCAGTGAGAGAAAGGGTTTTCAAATAGCAGTGTTCACACTCATCCTGAGATGGATCACCTGCCCCAGTCAGAGCTGCTGTTTGCATGGTAGTTAAAAACTTGGAAATACCAGTAAACACCACCCTGCAAGACAAACAGTAGCTTAGACTGATGTAGCAGGTGGTAAAAACAGGGGGTGGGGGAGACTTAAATGAGAAACTTCTTCATCTCCATACCATTGATCTTATATGGGCTATCTGTAGCTGAACTTACCATTAAAAACAAACACACATTAATCTGTTCATGGGTCTCACTGTGTTTAGTGTGGGTATTTATTCATTCATTCATGAGCCAATTTCAGCTAGTCCCTACAGGCAATATCCTCTTGGTTAGTTATGTGAGTGTTAACTCAACGTAACATGAGTAGTACAGTATTATCATACCGCCAAGATGGAAGTGCTGTCCACAAAGTACTTCCACTGGTGCATTGAGCAATGGTTGCAGTGGTAACTGTGTGGCGGGCTGCACAATCAAATTGCACAATTCTCTGCCCAGCACATTTATGTGGGCATAATTTTCCATTAAGCCCGCACAAACTGAATTTTGACCTGTATTTCACCCTAACCTCTTGTGCAATATTCTTAGAAGACATCTAAAAAAATATTGGTGGCTGCCCACTGATCTTTCAGATAAGCTGAGGTTTAAAGAAGGTGTGTATAGGAAATGGAAGGAGAAGTAAACCACAAGAAAAGAATACAATCAGGTAACTACTATGTAAGAAGAAGATCAGGAGGGATAACAACAGAAGCTTAGTCTGGTGAGAACCATTAAAAATAATATGTTTGGAGCAAAAGGAAGAACTAGGAAGTGGTACATCTGCTGCATGGAAAAGAGAAATGCTAATGGATGTCAGAGAGTCAGCAGACCTGTTCACCACATCCTTTATCTCCATCTTCTTCCCAAAGGAAAGTGATGCTCAACATTACGTCAGTAGAAGAAACAAGAAAATGATGGGCTTCTGCCCAGGATAGGTAAAGAGGCACTACAGGAACATCTAAATGCTGTAAATGGATCCAGATCTCTTGGGCCAGGGGTAGTGCATCCACGGGTATTAAAGAAACTCAGATGTTCTGGTATAACCTTTGATAATTCTTGGAGAAAAAGTGAGGTTCCTGAAAATTTGCCTTAATGCCAGCCCTGTCTTTTGTTTTTAAATATATTTTCTTTTAGAAGAGGCCTGATGGTGCCTTTTCACCCTGGATTCCCTCCTCACCTGATATGCAATGTGGCCATAGTGAAGTACCAGCTTCTCCTCTCCTCCAAAGGAATCTGAAATAGAGAACTAGGTTAAAAGAAAACAGGAACTGCATTCCTACAAATGCCACGTGTGACATAGTAGCTCCATGAAGTCAAGGATTCCAGCAGCTAGCCCTATTATCAGTCTGTTTGACAGTGCAAACTCGATCAGAATGCGAGGGGACCACATTCCCCTTTCCACCAAAGAACTTAGATCTATTTTATCATCCCAACTAGAGTGAACCTATTGAATAATGGGGACAGGGAATTCTAATTGTGAGAAGTTTTGAGTCAGTCTGAACTTTACAGGAGCTTACTAACTAGCTGAAGCTACTTTGGAGGGCAGGATTTAGTACCTTGGATAGCTTCTGTAAGGTTGAGGCCCCAATCTGAAGTGCTTTTTCCGTCCCTGAGAAATTGGAGTCAGTAGCCTCCACCCTCAGGGAGTCAATGGAACAAATGTAATATTGCTGTATCACACTCCTGCTGATTCAATGGTCTACTCTAGTTGGGACTAGTAATCAGATTTAGGTCAAAATGTACAGCTGTTATGGTTCTGCTTGATCACTCCTCCAAGGGAAAAGAGCCAGACTCCCTGAATTGATAAGGGCAGGAACTTTGGATCTTGCAGACCTTGTATCTTTGGAGAATTATTAAACTCCCAGAGAAAAGCATCTCTGTACCTGAGCCTGAGGAGGAGGCTGGACTATCTCCCTGTCCATGAGAACATTACAGGAAAAAAAAAAGCTCAAGTCTGTTTAGAAGAAAGGAGAGATTCCCCTGGAGAAATATCTCCTTGAAAGCATGTCTCTCTTTGGAGAGAAGTCCTTCCTTTCAGGGAGACTAGACTGTTGAATCCTGCAGCTGAGTTCCTTCCCCAGCTGGTCAAGTGTCTGCAGCTCAGCGTTTGGTGGGACTCTAGCAGCCCAAGATATGTAACTTTTAGATCTTTCATAGGCATCCTTCAGTCTTGAGAGACTATGGTAACATGCTCTGTCATCGAGGAGTGTCCTCTCCAGAGCCTGAAGCCTGGGTAAAGTAATATGGAGGATAGGCTGTTACCCAAGCAGCAAATCCCCCCTCGCCACGTTGCTGAAATGGTCCAATGGAGGAAAGGCAAGAGCCAATACAACTGGTTCCAGCAACGTCACAGGAGTTGACAGAACGACACGAACTGCCTTCGGGACTCCAGCTCCGGATTTTGCTTCTAGGTTAACTCCTGAAGCCTTTTCCAAGAGTGGATATAGCCACAAGGCAGTGGAGGTTTGAAATCGGAGTTTTCCTTCTCCTAGATGGGCTGTCTTCCATGGCTGACAAGCCCCACCTACCCGGCCTGCTCTCTAATAGTGTGGAAGTATGATCCGACCCTTAAAAAATTCTTGCCTCCCAGGTGTATGCAATGCTAATTGGCTTTCCTATTTACCATATTAGGGTCAGAGATAGAGTCAGAGAATTTGAGGATTTCACACGCCGTTAGGTGCATGGTCCTGGCACACCCTCATTTAAGGAGGGAAAGCCCCACCTCCTAGGCCATGCGGTGTGTGTGTGGGGGAAACAAAAGAAATCCTAATGGCTGGGATTTTACTAGAGACAACATGACTTCTCGATCCAGACCTTCCCCCTATCCATCTGTTGCTGTTGACGTCTTGATGTGTATGACCTTTTGACTGTTCAACTGTGCTTCTTGGCCTCTCCCCTTAATGCTCTACAAAGGGGTGAGGCAAGAGGCATAGTCAATCAATGACTTACCTGACTCATTGATAGGACCTTGTTAGACATTGCCTTTGGGGTCAGCTTGCCTAGCAGCAGGTCAGCAGCAGGGTCAGATCATAAGCTGCTATTAAAAATACTGATATTTACTCATTTATCCTACTTTTCTGCAAGTGGGAAACTGTTTCCATGTTCTTTCGAAATTTGAATGTGCTCTCTAGTTGGCTATTATTAGGTGGCTGTGCATGGTTCTTTCCCTCTTCAAAAAAAATTGGAGAAGGAAAATGAGATATCTCCAGGCTAAAGAAAATCTACAACAAACTTGAGGGCAATTTTTTTAATGACTTAAATCTTAGGTATGCTTACTTGGGATTAAATTGTGATTCTGACTAAATGTGGGCAAAGTATTCATTAGCCTATCCAAATACATCCCCATATTTACCCAGTGTGTATAAAGGAACTAATCCCACAGCATTTCTCCAACGTCTCTGTCCAGGGAAAAGAAGGCCATTTCGTAATTGGAATTGCTGCCCTCTAAAGACATTACAGTTCATGGGAATTTTACTGTTATCCTCTGTGAGAGAAGCTGGGTTGCTATGTTAAATGGAAGATCCACACCAAGCAGTTAAAAAATGCCTCTGATTCCTCAGCTGCTATTTCCTTCCTAACCAGCCAGTTGGACAAGGGGCTGAAAAGAGAAAGTCACTGCAAAACACAAGTGAGCAAATGTCCTTTGGTTTGTATTATCAGATGTTAAGAGAAATAACAGTGGGAGATGCTTTCATTCACATGTTCTGCTAACAGGTGGTCCAAAGACATTTGGAACCGCTATGGAACACAGAAGGAGGTTGCACTGGATAGTCCTTTGGTGCGATCCAGATAAGAACCCGTGCAAACTGCATTTCAGTTCATTTTTAAAATCAGAACTCATCAAAATTTATAAATTTATTCCTATCTGGAAAGGAAAGAACTCAGATTTTTAAAAAAATTGAATATGGGAGAAATTGAAATAGATGGATTCATAAATCTAAGTTTGGGGCTTTGGTAGCATAATTCTTAAGAGTCTTATATGTATTTATATAAGAACCCGTGCAAACTGCATTTCAGTTCATTTTTAAAATCAGAACTCATCAAAATTTATAAATTTATTCCTATCTGGAAAGGAAAGAACTCAGATTTTTAAAAAAATTGAATATGGGAGAAATTGAAATAGATGGATTCATAAATCTAAGTTTGGGGCTTTGGTAGCATAATTCTTAAGAGTCTTATATGTATTTATGTATTTATTATATTATATTATATTATATTATATTATATTATATTATATTATATTATATTATATTATATTATATTATATTATACAGTATTAGTACCCCGCCTTTCTCCTTGAAAAGGACCCAAAGTGGCTTGCAACATTAAAAAACAATATTTAAAGCTCAGAACCATGAGTATAAGGAGGCATTTTACATAATTAAAAGGCAATATTAAAGTTAGGAACAATATGTATACAAATATTAAAAAGAGGGGGGGAAGTCTTTGAGAAATGGAATACCCCAAAATGAAAAACAGTAACAATCCATCAAAAAATCACACAAACAGGTAGCTAGATTACTGAGGGAAGGAAGGCTTGCCTGGAGAGAAAGGCCTTTGCCTGCTTGCAGAACGACAGCAAATGTGGGCCCAGTCTGGTCTCCTGTGGGAAGGAGCACCAGAGTCTGGAAGCAGCAACAGAGGAGAATTTCTCCTGCGTCCCCCTCGGATGCACTTGTGAAGCTGAAGGGAATTAGAGAAAGGCCTCTCGTGATGATCTGAACACCCAAGCCGACTCATAATGAGAGACATGGTTCTTTGAGATAACTTGGACCGAGGCCATTCAGGGCTTTATAGGTTAAAAACAGCACTTTGAATTCTGCCCCAGAAACGGATTGGCAGCCAGTGGAGCTGCTGTAACAGGGGATGTCATCCCTGTAACCAGCCACAGTCAGCAATCTGGCTGCTGCATTTTGGACCTGCTGAAGTTTTCTGACACTT